GGTCCAGGGTTTAGCGTTTAGGGTTTGGGGTTTAGGGTTTAGGTTTAGGCTACTTAAAGGATCATGGGACTTAGTAACTAAGGTTATTATTCGGGTAGCTATACTTATAACTACTTATAACCCCAATTCAGGTACTTGTAACCATACTTACTAAGTCCCATGATCCTCCAAGTATCCTCTGCTTTGGCCACGCGGCCTCTAAGACTAAACCGAGCGAGCCCGCAATCTTTGACTTGAGCGTCCCCCGAAAAAGCACATGGTAAAGAGGCCTGGGTAGCTTGACTCGGGTGTGGGAGTTGTTACGTAAAAGATCGTTCTGCCTGGTGATGCTTACTTGGTCCTTGGGCCCCAAATTAGTAAAGTGCATGAATGACAAACATCCGGCACTTTCTCCACCCGCCGCTGCACACGAAACACGTCCTCGTGCAACTTCCATTGAAAGCCTGGCGCAGGCCGTGAAGGAGGGCAAAGACCGCTGGAAAGGAAAGCAGCCACAAACCATGGAATGGCAAGGTGCTGCTCATGGCACTGCAGTGCAAGAGTAAGCACCGGGCCAACTTGCTTTTGACCCCGGTTGCCGGCAGCCCATGGCCATGACAGCCTGGAGTGGATGAAGAAACCCCCGAATCCGAAAAAAATGAAACGAACACTATCGGCCCATCAACATCCCCCAAAATCAATGAAACGAACACTATCGGCCCATCAATGCCCCTAAACCCTAAACCCTAAACCCTAAACCCTAAACCCTAAACCCTAAACCCTAAACCCTAAACCCTAAACCCTAAATAGTCGCCGTGCCCCAGATGGGGGGGCCGGGAGCCTCGAAGTCCATGGGGCTCAACGTCGCCAAGCCGCGCCTTGAGGCGAGGCACAGGGGCACCATGTGGGAGTTTCCGACAATAGGCGGACATCATAGGGTTTAGGGTTTAGGGTTTAGGGTTTAGGGTTATGAAGATCGACATGGGAGTTTCAGAAAATTAGGGGTACCTTATTTTGGGGTCCTTATAATAGGGATCCTATTAATTAGGGTGCTATATTAGGGTCCCCTATTTTCGGAAACTCCCTATGTTGCTAAATGAGGAGTTAGTTTGGGGCTTGGGGATTTAGGGT